GAACTTTTAAACTAGGAGCCAGCAGTGGCTTTTCTTGGGTAGCCAGGGAAGGGTTTGCAGGTTCCATAAGAACCATTGTCCCCAGGCTGTGCGATGAAGGGAAAGGGTGGTATCTATTGAGGACAGGCGTTGTCCGAAAGAGCTTGGCCAGAGGTCTCATCCTGCCTGTTTCTGATGGTAAGAAAATTTATGTCATGTATACAGTTATTGTGAAACCCAGGCCCCAATCATGAGAAACCCTTAACTTATTTTTAGCAGTTCAGAAGAACACTGATAAGCATCTTACTAACTTATGCATTCTGACTGTGTCTTAGCCAGATGAAAGGAAAGAGTGTCACATCTCAAGACATTGTGGTGCTGTAGTGTAGGTGTCCAAATGCTGATGTGCCCAGACAACTATGCAACCAGGTATGGAACTTTTGGCCTATAAAATTGTGATTTTGAAGAGGAAACATATGGAAGACTGTCCTCTGAAATTCTGGGGGAGAACTGGTGTGCTTCATCTGGATTTCAGAACTGATGCCATTAAAAAAAATGAAACAAGCACAGGTTGCAGCTTTCTTCTCCTAGCAGTTAATATTGCAGAATTTGGGAATGCTTTGTACTTCCAAATACCAAGCTACTGCTTCAGTTCTTATTGTGGATTTAAAGGTCTTACTTTGGGCATAGAAGTTAGGAGATGTGTGGAGATATTAAAGCAATGGGAATATATCCTTCTGTGAGAAGGAAAAAGTAACTAGGGTTAGGGCAGTCATTTAGTCTTACTGGTGTAGTTTTGCAGAAAAGATACGTCATCTTCAGGACCTAGCTGAAAATGTAAGTGGTTGTATAATTTGAGTATTAAAGCTTCTAGTACTTATCCTGTTCATTCCCTTGGTAGTTGTGTTTTAATACTTCTAACATAAAAAAAACCCCAACCATAATGAAATACTGGAAATTAGAAATGAAGAGGATAAGAGATTGAACCAGTGCCCATTACTTCATCTTCTTTTCATAGAAGGTTTCCTACCCTGATAAAGTATTGAAGTAAGTGAGCACAGCTTTTTAGCTTTTGTATGCTACTGTGAATTTGTGAGGTGAGTGTAGTTTCTACCCAAGGATGCAGTACTTGTTGGAGGCTTAGATATGAGAAACTGGGTCAGGTTTCACAAAGTAATTCACAATATAATCTTGTTAACCTGCAGTTATTGTATCTGAATGCCTTATAGTTGGCACCAAAAAAAAGGGTGGTCTCTTCCAACATCTTGGCAGGTTCATTAGATTAGCTTATTATTCAGACTGAACATCATTTTTATAAAATATGCTATTACATATTTACTGATTTGTTTGTTAATATGCCACAAAGTACTGTGTGAATCATTACAACTAATCTTATTTGCCAAAACAAATTAATGAGGTATATCTGTTAAAGCTATATTTGTTATGTTTTTATATTCTGTCTATTTGCTTTCTTAGGGAATTGCTTTGTTTAATAAATCTGCAGGCTCTTTTCTTGTCATTAATTCAAAATAGATGTGGAAGGAAATTTTCTTTCAGGTGTAGTCCATTTTGCTTCAAAATTATTTTTTTTAAATGGCCTTCAGTATAGCAAAGGGACATAATTTTATGTCCTTTAGAAGGGTATGTTAGGTGTTTTTCCATGAGTTTTGCACCAATATTTTGTGCACTGGTGTAATGGAAACATGATGCATACTCAACCTTTGGACCAGGTGCTGGTGGTTCTTTTAGAAGTTCCAGCATCAGGTTGGCTTCACTGTAATAAACCTATTTGGTAAAGCCTGTACAGACATTGGCTGGTAGAGGCAAGCTGTCCTGGCCCGTTCAGTGCTGCAGAAAGAACAGCAGACAGGGAAAAGGAGAACAGCTCCTTCTTAACAGGATCTTGTCTTACTGACGCAAATTAAAATAACCATGTAATTTATCTGTGTTGTTTCCTGTCACGTGCTGCTTAACAGTGTATCTATGACCAACCTTTCAATACTCTGTCCTTTCAATGCAATTTAGTCTCCTGCCCAATTTATTTGCTGCTACCAAAAGTCAGTATTATATTACTGAAGCATATCCATGGTGGAGAATTAAGATAATAAAATATGGACTGTGCTTTATGCTCATTATAAGTTACATCCTTCTATTTAAGGAGAATAGTAATAATCAGCAGGAATGGAAGTAGAATTACAGTGCATTATGTTTCAGTGATGCCGTATGTTTTTACCTTGGAGCACCAGAGGATTAGTAATTATATACCTATCACTTAAAAGGAGGAAAAAAGGATATGTCCAGCTTATGGTGGTATGTGCCGTTTCCTCAACTCTTTGTGTTCTCTTTGGAGGGAAAACCCCTGAAGTGAATCTGGCATAACAATACCAGCTCCTTACAGTATGTGGCTCAGACAGGTAAGAGTTGAATACTATGTTACTCCATATTTGTATGGAGTGTCAGCAGCCATAGCATCAACATGTTGGAGGTGCTTGTAAAGCAGTCTTGAGTACTGCAGATTTAAATTTGTAATTTGAGGTCAGAATGTGATAATTGCTTTCTACTCCATTCTGCATTTTTGCTTAAAAAAAAAAATCTTGTTTAAAATTCAGTTACCATTAGAAATGTCTTCATTCTTTGTTTATTTGGTACTGTATTACAACTTGCCAAAAGTGATTTCGGCAGCAGTCACCCTTACCGTTCAAAAAGTACAAAAGAGGAGCAACAGTAGGCTTTTGTTTTGTCAATTGTTCTTTGTAAACAGAGATAATTGACTTATCTGTTACCACAGGGTGGTTCCTCTCTACCTGACAGTTGGTTTGTTGGCATTTTTTTCTTCATTGCTGTGGATATTTATTAATTTCTTCTACTGATTATCTTAAACAGCTTGGTGTCTCTTTCTTAGTTGCACTGCACCTTACACAATTAGTTTGAGTGGTGAAAAGAATGATGTAAGTCAGCAGCTTTCCAGACTCTTGACATTTCATAAGCCAGTGTTTTATGGATGTTAATTTCTATATAGAGAGTATATATCCTATGTATAGGAATTTGGGTTCCGGAGTGCAGTGTTTTTCAATATTGCAAAATTGTGTTTTCTTGTTGCTAAAAAAGACATCTTTGCTAGCTGTTTTTGTGATGGCTGAAGGTTCATAAACTTCTTGTATGCTTTCCATTGCCACAGGGTCACATTACTTTTGGGAATAGGGGTTCCAATGTGGGGGCAATAAATACTAGTATTTACTTTTTTTTATTAAGTAAAAATGTATCCAGTTTCACTATAGTATTCATAATTACACTAAAGGTCAGATTTTTCTCAGGTTAAAGTTTTTCTGCTCTGCATCTCTTGGCTGTGACATTTAGTACTATTACGAGAAAATATAGATAAGTTTTTTGTTTCATTTTGGAAATAAAATCTAAACTGAAATATGCAAAATTCTCTCAGAGAAGTTCTTATCATAAAAAATGAACCTCTCAGCGATTTGTTACAGTCTTATTTTATTTTTCATTTCGTGTGCTCTTTCGTGCAGATCTGGTGTGATAGTTGGCTAGTTTAATTACTGCCTTTCTGAAAAGATAAGTGTTTGTAGAGTCTGAAGGGTGTCATTTTCCTTTAGAGGGGACCATGATGGGAAGAGGATGAAAGTAAAGTGTTTGCAAAATAACAGTATAGGTGTATTTGTGTGCACCCTTAAAATCTGCAGTTATTCTGACAGAATGGCAGCTGCAAAGGTGCAAAATTCAGAGGATCTGAAGATCCTTTTAGAAGACTCATCATTACTCAAACACAAACTAAGTAGACACGTGGCCAATGGAGTGTTTAAGGAAGATAAAGTAGAACAGCAGTTGCTGCTGTTTTGGTTCTTCTGGATGCTTACAATTCTTGGGTTTTTTTCTTCAAATAGTCTTAATAGCCTGCTTCCCTAAGTTAGCAGTAATTTTCTAATTTAATGGAATTTAAAAGACAAATGCCAGTTTCTCGATGCCAAAACTTGTCACAGAAAGGATTGCTTACAGTGGATCTCCCAGTCGACAGACCAGGGAAAAGAAAGGATAGCTGCTGCAGCATTCTTCTGGCTCAGTAAACAGCAGAGTGCCCCAACTCTTACTGGCTTTGCAAACGTTAAAGCTATTCAGCACCTGTAAAATTTACTTAAGGTCTCAGGTGTAAGCTTGGGAACCACTCAGCAGTGGCAGTATGTTACAGACTTGTTATCAGTATGTGGCTTAAAAATGCTAATATTACTGGACTTTGATCCATTGTCATCCTTGTGAAAGTGCCAGTCCTACAGGTATTCAAGTATTTGACTAGCCTCGTTTATTCATTTCACACAGAGCCAGCCTAAAGTCATCTTGTGCACCTCAAAATATTTTCCCAGTCCCTCTTGTCCAATCTTTCTTAATGTATAGTTGATGCATTAAGGCCCAGTTTCTCAAGCATGTTCTTTAACCTTCTGGGTTTGTTTTTTTGGGGGTGAGGGGTGGGGGTGTTGTTTTTTTGGTTTTTGTGTTTTAATTTATCAAGAAGACAATCAGCTTTCTGACTAATAGTTTTGGATCAATGTGCTGTGTTCCACTGTGCTGGTATTCTCCAAAATCTACATCCTCTAGAAATCAGCAGGAATGTGACTCAAGCTTGCTTCTTGAGCTTAGAACAAAAAAGCAGTCCAGAAAAATAAAGAATGCTTTTTCTAGGGAAGCTGTGGTGTCTACAGTAATTTAATGTAGTCTTCAGCAGACATTCTATAGACTTGAGAATCTGCAGTTTTCTGGATAGGTTATAGAGGACCCTCACTGCTGGGACCTGTGAACTCAAATGCATTTGTTCTTTCCTACCCATTCGATTTCTGTTCCACCCATTTTATGTGCCTTGCCCATGATGATTTTGTTTTGTGTTTAGTGTTCTGCTGAAGAGTGAGCAAGCAGAGACCCTCCTGGGACGTCACCTAAGTTTAGGTCTCTTTGCTAGTAATATGAGTATCTAATTGCAGTTGTTTTTAATGACTGGGAGTTTCTTTTGATACTAGGTGATGCAGATGTATCTTCCATTCTGTGGGATTGCCATATCCAATGCCCAGCTATTTGCAGCTTCAAGGAAGGAATATGACAGAAGCAGGGTAAGTAAAAAATGTGTATTGGACCAATATCAAACCATCGTCTTTCGTTCCTTCAGATTCCAGCTATGCATATGTGTTTGCTAAGCAGACAGTTTTAACTGTTTTATTTCAAAAAATGCATTTTCACCAGATCACTATCTTGACTGAGGCAGCAAGCAGAGAATGTGGGAGGGAAATACGCTCGTGGTGGTGGTGGCTGTTGTTTTCTGATGTCAGTTCCGTGTTTTATAGTGCTGAAACAATTGCATTTGTGACACAGACGGTGCAGGAGAGAGTGTTACTTTGGCAGAGATTTAAACTCTCATAAAATTCCACTAATATCAAACCTTTGCCATCCTGAATTTGTAATATTCAATTCATGTGCAAATAATGTGGATATATCTTTCTAAAAGTAAGCAAGAAAAAAACCCCTGTATGTGAATTGTTTTGACAGCATGTGTCTGCATAGATACATTACTCATGATTGCTGATGCCATGCATGAGTTGGGACAGGAGGCTCCAAAGAAGTGAAAATAATGCTGAGCTCATGTCATTTACTTCTCAAAGAGGTCTTTATTTTTTTAAAAAATAAAATGGTAATTTTGAGGTTTTTTGATAATTGTTGTCTTTTTTTTTTTTAAATAACCTTTCTTGCAATGACAGGAAATGATACTTTTGTTATCATGGATCACAACTCCAAAGCTTCAGTAGAAATACCACTGGTAGTGCTGAACCTACTCTTGCTTCACAAAGCAGGGGAAACTACAGTGGGGTGGGTCTGTGTATAGAGTACTGACATTTGTGTATTCAGGATTTTGGTGCTTTCCATGTATGGAAACTAATGCTTTCCACTACTTACAATAGCCCTTTCTAATAGTGTATATATTTAAGGGTCATGAAGCATCTGAGCTTGTCTTTTGTCCAGGTCTGACTACAGACCACTATATTTTGGTGTGGAGATGTGGAGGAGACTTGGGGAAAAAAAGATTTTCTGCCAAAGATCTTTTTCTTTGTTTGATGCTCAAACGAAATAATTGTTTGACTACATAGAGACTTAAAATTTTCTGCAGATTCCCAGCCTGCAGGGGGCAATGACAGACTTTTGAGGAGTCGGCGTTTAATCTTCTGAGGGAGGCATTCAGCAGAAAAGTATTAGGGACATTCTCATTCTTCGTTAGAAAATGGTAAATTCTGATGGTTGGACACATCAGGAAATTGGATTAGAGATACAGATTCTTTGGGTTTTGTTGCTGCTTCAGTTATGCAAGGCATAACAAACATCATTGCCATTTGACAGCTACATGGTGGCCTGTACTTAATTGCATTTCCGACCTTTTGATGGTCTTCAGCTTTGCCTAGTCCATGGTTGAAATTAGTTGGCAAGTAACATGTGATGGACAAGCCCATACTTTGCCTTCCCTATCAAACTGCACACCAGTGGGTGGCAACTTCCAGTGACTGTGGCCAACATTTTGCTGATGACCACTGCGTTAGGAGAGCTATGACCACTAATGTTCATATGCTTACTTGTATGGATGTTCTTTAGTGTCGGTGCCCTAAACCAGAATAGAATAAAGGAAAAAGCACACTTCTTTGGACCCATGGTAAGAAAGAACGTGGCCTATTTTTAAAGTTGATGAAATGGGAGGGGAAGCCCTTCATTTTAAAACATTGTATTTTACAGACATGTTGTTAGTGGTAAAGACTGGATCAGAGTGCTATTGGAATATGGAAGTATTGATGTGGGGTTTTTTTTTTTTCTTTCTTTCTTTCCAGCTTTGAACATGCAAAATGGGTAATAAATGAATAAAATGGAGTTTAAATGCACCAGCAAATTCAATATAGTAAATCAAGTAACTCAATCCATACTGTGTACTTGGAGATTTGCATTACAGCCATTGTTTCATTTTTGGACCACAGTGAAACAGTTTGAAAGATTCCCATTGTTTGCTAGGAGTTGGATTGTGCCCAGTTGTGAGCTAAGAAATACTTCTTTCTTTCTTCAGATACCCCCACCCCAATTCTGTTGCCATAATCATTAAGAACTTTATTTGAATTAAGATTTCAACGGATCACTCATATTAAAATCAAGCCCAGAGATTATGCCTCCTTGTATTTATTAATTCTACAACCAATACAAGAGTTTTCTGTCCTTGTATGCAGGCTTTACTGGAAGTAGTGAATGATCTCTTTGAGGAACAGACTGACTTGGAGAAAATTGTCAAGAAAATTATGCATCGGGCCCAGACTCTGCTGAAGTGTGAACGGTGCTCAGTATTACTTCTGGAAGATATCGAGTCACCAGTAAGTATGGCTGCACATTCTGTAGAAAGGCTAATAATTTGAGTGGTGGAGCAGCTGCTTTTATTGTGGTGAAGCTGTTTCATATCGTATGTAAGTACTGAACAGCAAGTATTCTTCCAGCATGTCATTCTTAAATGTACGTTAGGTATAGGTTGAATCTTTATCAACACCACTGTTGTGGTTTAACCCCAGTAGGCAGCTAAGCCCCACGCAGCCACTCACTCATTTCCCCACCCCAGTGGGGTGGGGAAGGGAATTGGAAGGGTAAAAGTGTGAAAACTCCTAGGTTGAGATAAAGACAGTTCAGTAGGTAAAGCAAAAGCTGTGTGCACAAGCAAAGCAAAATAAGGAATTCATACGCTACTTCCAATCGGCAGGCAGGTGTTCTGTCATTTCCAGGAAAGCAGGGCTTCATCTTATGTAATGGTTACTTGGGAAGACAAACGCCGTAACTCTGAAAGTGCCCCCCTTCCTCCTCCTTCCCGCAGCTTTTATTGCTGAGCATGATGTCATATGGTATGAGATATCCGTTTGGTCCGTTGGGGTCAGCTGTCCCAGCTGTGTCCCCTCCCTACCTATTGTGTGCCCCCCAATCTATTCACTGGGGTGGCAGAATGAGAAACAGAGAAGGCCTTGACATTGTGTAAGCACTGTTCAGCAATAATGTAAACATCCCTGTGTTATCAACCCTGTTCTCATCACAAATCTAAAACATGTCACCATACAAGCTACTATGAAGAAAATTAACTCTATCCCAGCCAAAATCAGTATAGCCACTTTTTCAAACGGAAACCGAAAGGTACATTTATGATTCCTTCTGCTCATTTGAAGGCATTTAATGGGATGTCTGTAAGTTGATGATGGGATCTAACTATCAGTGGTGTGGTCCAGCTGTGATACGCTGTGATTCCCAGTTGTCTGTGTGATGGAATTAGTGCTTACTACAGAGCAGCTAGTACAGCTTAACTGAGAAGCAAGGTGCTCCTGTAGTTTGCTTAAAAAAGAAAAATGACCTGAGTTGTTATCAAATATTTATTTGCTCAGTTCCTTTCTTTCATGGTATAGCCAATGGAAGGAAAGAAAAATCCTGTCTGTAGCTTCACTTACATTTACCTGGAATTTATGACCTTGCTAACATTTTCAGACTAATAACTTATCAAATGGGTGGTGCTTGCAAGCAGTTTCAGAACCAGAAACAGCTGCATCATCAACCAAATCTTTCATTCTCATTTTTAGAACTAACCTTTTCTGCATACATTCCAATAAAGAATTATCAGATATCTTTGTTGATATTTCTACAGTGTTCATACTTTTGCATGTTATTGTTGTTTAACTGTAGCAAACTGAAATACTTATGTAGTTTCTATTCTACTATGTAACATGTTGCATGTTTAATCAGACTGCTGGTCCCTCAGAAATAACAGATAAAAATAAACTCATCAAGACTTTGTTAACTGACCATCCTGTGTATTCAGCTACTGGGCTTTACAGCAATCTAATCAGTGTCTTCACAGTAGTCAGCTTCTGAACTTGCCTCATGAATGTTTGGGGTTTTTTTGTGAAATCCAGTATTTGAATGTGGAAGAACAGCAAGACAGTAAGGGCTGAACCTGCAACACACGGAGTTTTCTCAGCTACTTTTGGTGGCCACTACTCCATGGGATTTGTTTATTCCTGAAAGTTTTCCACGCACTCTAGCCATTGGCAGGGGTATGTTTGGGAGTAGCTATGTTTGCACATTTTAACAAGTTTCTTTAATACTTCGCAAAATAAATAATGAGAACCAGTCTCAGTTCCTAAATTATGAAAATGTTGTGAAAAGATAAGTCCTCTTGCTATTTTGACCTAGTAATTTTTCCCTGAGGTAACAGAAAATCCATTGGAAAAGACACATTTGCATACAAATGTCTAGATAGTCACGTACTTGTTCTTGTGATAGGAAGAAGCTTTTGCATTAGCAGGTGAAGAGAAAATGTGAATTTCAACTTTACTGAAGTAAACATGGTTTTTGCAATTGCTCTGTCCACTTGACCATGGAATAATTATTTCATTGTAGAGCTCTGTTAAGATGAACAGATGGACATAAGCTATTTGAAAGCATTTGTCAAGAGTTGGATTTCATGCACAGTTTTGACAGGGGCTTTCACTGGTACTTTGTAGTACTGCCATTCATAGGGTATGAGAACCTCTTTAAAAATGTTTAACATTTTTATAACTATTGTTATTAGTAGTAAAATAAGTGACTGCCTTTATATTGGTAGCTCCCTTCAGTGTTTTCAGGCTATTCAACACAAACTATCCTCTTTCCTACTGATTTGAGAAGTAGTTGAAGGATAAAAATGTTGCTTGTAATATCGTTGTTTTTTCTATCCAAGTATCTTTGGATTCACTGACTCTGTAATTGATTATTTGTTGCTGGGCTGTGACAACTCTAAATGATTATCAGAGATGGAATCATAAGTTTGTGTGTATGGCAGAAAAAAAAACATTATTTTCTTTCCTGGAGGAAAGCTGTGATTCTCATTTCATTTAAACTAATAGAAATTAAGTACTTTCAGTGGAGTATGCCCTAAATTACACTAGCTTTCATAAAAGCAAGATCAAGGTTTGTATTTCGTTTATATATTCTCTGTTATAGAATTTTAATGTTTCTAGTTCATTTTCTCTTTCTAGACCCCCCACACTGATTTTATAATTACAAGATACAGTTCTACTACATTCTTATGAAATGTCACTATGTTTGCAAGTATAATGTGATTTTTATTTTTCACAGAACAGTACATTGTGTTAGTAGCAGGCTGTGGGTGGCATTGTTCACTTCATTTTTCTGCTCTTGGTACTATTTCTACCTTTGAGCACAGAGGGGTTTTCTTCCAAACCACAGGCAATGAGTTCTCATTCCTCTAGACCAAATTCTGAAATGTGGACAGCCAAGGTATTCAGTTAAGCCTAAACTTTTTCTAAACAGTCATAAATCTTAGGTTAATTTGGAGTAGGAGAATAGCATCTTGCCACCTACTTGGTCATTTTTACAAGTGGCAAAACAGTTATTTTCCTGATTTCCCCCTATTTTGGAGGATTAACCTATATATCAAAATAGATCTCCATAGAGTAACTCAGTGTTAAGCCATATCTAAAACATTGTCATTTGTACATCGCGTGAAAAGCTTTTACAATACAGAACTGAAGTGGAAGATGGGGACTCATACTAGCATCCAAAAACATTACCTGTGTTCTACGTCACATTAGCCACTCTTAAAATGTTTCACTTACGTGCTGTTGGCACATATGTTCAAGGAAAATTGATTGCGATTAGTAGTGCAAATGGGCCTTTCTGTTTATTTTCCTGTATTAAAAAAGTGAAATTTGGGTAAAGCTCCATAATTTATGTTCCAAAGCCCTTTGAGGGGAAGCATATACTGTTGTAGAAAATAGTTTCCTGAAGGAATCTAAAGTTATCATTTGATTTGATATTGTTTGTTGGTGAACTGTGCACAGTGTGTATTTTGAACACGAATTCTCCGTTGAGGGAATACAGATTGAATTATTTTTCTAAGACCATTGGATGAAAATATGGTTAAAATATAGGAACCTTACGTTACTCTCTTCTTACATATTTATTCATCTTAATAACAATTTTAAGTTACTTTTTTGTGACAGGTGGTGAAATTTACAAAATCCTTTGAGTTGTTATCTCCAAAATGCAGTGCTGATACTGACAACAGGTTAGTGCTCATGTCTTCTATGGTAATGGATTACTTTATTTTTCGCATAGTTTTAAATTTACTTGATCATAGTTTTATTTTCTTATGGAACTTTGAGTAGTTTTGATTGAAGAGCGTGAGCCTACAGTTTTTACTCAGACAAGATTCCTGCTTGCTTCAAATGGAGACTTGCTTGAATAAATATACGTGCCTATATTTTTATATATATGTGTGTGTATACATATGCGCTAACATTGTATCAGTGTCTCAGAGAAGAAACCAGGAAATAACTGATGACTTTTTATTGTTGAACTCGTGGAGAACACACAAATGTTGTATGGCATAATAAATACTGAAGTAAAAATTACAAAATTATTTTAGATTGTTTGTTGATGTCTTATAAAATGCCTCCTTACAGTTGTGTTGAAAGGTTTTCAGTAAAATTTTCTGTTCTTGTCATTAAGTTGGAAAGCCTAAAAACGTCAGAGAACATGTATTTCCTAGAAATTGCGTTCCTGTGACTAAATCTTGTTTGGGAGCCCAGTCAAAATATAAGTATATGTTTTGCTTAGTAGGAGCTGTATTTAAATGTGGATAAAGGGCTGATTGTAAGTAGTACTACAAAGATCTTTTTGTCCATGTGGGGTTACTATATTAATTCCTACAAGATAATACAACTGGTAACAGTTCACATAAAATGTCCTACATACCAAACAAGTGGATGAAGATTCAGAGCTATTGTGAGAAGGTTTCTCCCATCTTTCAGGGCCCAAACTCAGTGATTATCATACACATTTTATGCAAATCAATTCATACTGATTCTGAATTAGAATTTTCCATGTCAAATGGCTGCCATAATGATAAACCTAGCCTTCTGTCCAACTTGCTCTCCATAGCTTAGCAAACTTGAAGATTACTTTGTGTTTTGCCATATTTAAGTCCTTTAAGCAGCTTTTAAAAATATTTTTGGGTAATTTGCCTTCTTTCATGTTTTATTTCTTCACCTCCAGTGTGGTAAGAAGCCACCACTTCATTAAGGTGAATGTGCACATTGTACTCCAGATTACGACAGGTCATAATTCTTAATGCTTTTCATTGATTGATCTCACAGCATTACAAAAATGAGTAGTGTTATTTTTAAGGTGTGCAAGCTGACAGTAGAGTCCAGGGCCACACAGAAAGACAGGTAGAAGCTAGACCTCTTCCATGCCCTATCCACTAGTTGAGAGATGGGAACAGTGAGACAAATGGAAAAGGAAAACAAATGATAAAAAATAGGAAGGTTTAAATATGAATAAATCTGCTGATTCATCTGGGAATCACAAGTTACTGCTTTTGACAAAGAGCTTCAGAGTAGCAATTGGTCTTTCCTAGGTCAATTAAATTGGTGAAAATACATTCCTTTTGTTCAGGGACAGGAATATGAATCAAGGGATGTGGTGGTTATTCTTGTTTTTCTCAAACTTGATCTGTAGCCAGATTAGTCAAAACAATGTAGAGTGGTGTCAAGATAACCAAGCTGGCTCATTTCTTGTTACCATAGTTATATTAACATGTTACCAAAAAGCAATTTGTAGTAGCCTGCTCTGCATGTAGTCAAGATTATTTTAACTTTAGTCTGAGACATGAATAAACACGTGCAACATGGTAGCTAGTCTTTATAAGATTTATGAAGGTATATTTCTGTGCATCTTAGAAAAAGCAATAAATCTTTATATTTTCATTTTTCATCCAGTGGAGAGTGAAGTTGGTTTTACAAAGACTAAGGTTAGACTGGTGGATATGATGTCACATTTGGATCTAGCACAGGCACAGCTTGAGTTATTGGCACTATAGAGGGAAAATAAAGGTTATTTAGGATACAGAACAATGCCGTGAGCCCTTGACATTTGAGCATTTTTCTAGTGAGTTTTGCCCTTTTCATTCTACATTCTGCAGCCCTAACTGATGTAAAGTCATGAGATGTTTCATGTGGAAAAAAATGGCAAGGTGAGTTTCTTCATCATCACACCAGTGAAGATAGAAATTATTTCTTTGAAATTTTAGTGGAAATCCAAAGAGATTATAGGTTGTGAACAGTTCTAGTTATAAGTTCTATCTGAAAGAGAGAGAGAAGCTGCAAGGACAATATAACTTTTCATGTCCTAACATACGTTCTCACACAGTTTTAGAAGAAATTGGCTTTTCTTTTGCCCTTCTTACATCTGGCTAATAGCAGTTCACCTGTTTAGTCCCTAAATACTCTCATATCTCTTTTTCTTTGCTGTTTGTTGTAAAGAAATACCTTGCAAGACCATACTTGCATTTATATGTTCAGTTTGCAGTTATACAGCACACACCATGGTCAAGTTTGTTTATTATCCATATTGGCAGACTGATGTTCTCCTTTTTGCCAATCATTTTGTTCTTGAAGTACAGGTTTGCCAAGTCTCCTAAATTTTCTCTCCCTTTGAAAAAAGATAACATAAATCTTAGAAGCCTTGAGGGTTCACCCTGTTCCCTGCAGTATTTTTACGCTTCTTAAGGCATCTTTCTGCTCTTCTAGTCCTAGGAGCTGGAAGGGTTCATGTCACTGTTTAGAGAGGATTGAAGGTACCCGTGATTTTGGCTGTACCACTTCCCTACTGTACTTTCTGCCATCCCTGTCAGGGAGACTTTGGGGAAGATAACAAGGCAAGCAGCTGCATAAGGGGAGCCTGCAGCACTGCTCGGTGCTCTTGAGCTGGGTTTTCTCTCCTGCCTGGCATGCGGTGCTCCTGCTAGTGTGTGGGCAAGACAGGGATAGTGGCGTGCAGCTGCCTGCATCAGTCCAGCAGGACTCACTCACAGCTTTCCACAGTTTGGAGAAAATTGTTGCCTGTGATTTTTAGAGTAGCTTCTGAGCTGCTGAGGATGGAGAGAGAGCCAGCTGGCTGTGATTTGCATCAGAATTAAACATTGATATTTCCTCCTAGTGAAAGTTGAGTGCCTCTCTTCCAGGGTGTAGTTGTGAAATACTTGCTAGGAATGGAGACAACATAGTAGAACACGCTTTTAAAATTTCTTCCTGAATTATATCTTGTTTCTTTTACTTGAATTCATTTGCTGCTTAAAATGCTTGACACCCATAATCCAGTTCCGATTTAAAGTGTCTTATAATATGATGATAACATCATCCAGATTTTTAAGGTATGAACTGAGCGCTATGCATTTGAAATTAGATTCTTATCCTTAAAGATTTTTTTGATTCTCAAGTATTGATGTCTGAAATAAATTTTAAATTATAAACGTGAATTTTTTTACTTAGCTCAAAAAACATTACATTTCTGTAAAGGTTCCTGTCAAAGTATACACATAACATTTATTACAGTCACTCAAAATTCTTATCCCAAATGAAAGTTGATACACTTAGATTTATTTGTGTAAATCATTATTATTATCTTTCTTTATAGTCTTTTAAGAATATTGAGTTTTCTTTCAAATGAGTGACTTAGTTGAATTAGTCTCCAGAAAATCAATGCAGCCAACAAAAAATCAATCCTTTCACTTTGATTGAGTCTTCCAAGCATTTTACTGTGCATCCTTCTTTCATTCATGTGCATTACTTTGAAGCTTCAAGCTATTGTAGTCTTCTCCATGGCTGCTCAGAGTCACTTTTTTCTAAGTAATGTTTCTCAGGTGTTGAAAATTGATCAGTTTTCTTCTCAAAACTAAGACAACATGCATTTGTTTATTCACACATGAATAGCTACCCCTTGCCAATGTCAAAAACCTGTCTGCAACAAATCAGTGAGAACTTTCCTGCTGATTAGATTAGGTATAAGGTGAGGACTTTAAGGTCTGTGTAGATACTGAATTTTCTGGAGTAGCTGTGGTGGAGTGTGGTGAGTTGAGCCCATAATTCTAGTGTCTTATGTTCATTTACTGACAGCCTTCTAGCCCCTCAGTAGTTGTGGCAGAAGCTGAGCCAGAAAAAAAAAAAGGAAACATTAATGTATTATATGTCTACTTGGATCCACCTGCTGCAACACACTTACATTATTGATTTTAAGACTTATTTCATGATCCCTTCTTCAGCCACTCAGGTCTGGCATTTCAGACCAAAATAAAAAAAATGGCATTTCCCTTGACAGGAAAATTATTGGAAGTATGAATTAAAAATACCTCAAATTATTATACTAATTTGAAAAATTAAAATCTTAAAATTATATACTTTCAGGTAGCTCTACGGAAAATATTTAAAACTGGTTGCTTTTGATGAGCAGGCCTGTATCCCACAGAAACTTGGAACATAATCCCACTCTTGATTCATATGTAAATGCATTTAATTATTAAATGCTGTATTTAGTTTACTTTGGAGACCTCTATTTTCAAGAGAAAGAATTGTGTAAAAGAGAGAATTTTTGATGTACCATTTCAATAAATAACAAATTATTGTTCCATAGATAATGCTTAGTAACCATTAATAACTGTGAATGGTTCTGCTGTTCCTATGACTATGCCCGTAGGACGTGCTGGACTTTCAAGCAATGTTGACTGTATTCTTTTCTTCCCTTGTTATGCCTTTTGATAGTTTCAAAGACAGCATGGAGAAATCATCATCTTATTCCGACTGGCTAATAAATAATAGCATTGCTGAACTCGTAGCTTCCACGGGTCTCCCAGTGAATATCAGTGATGCCTATCAGGATCCTCGCTTTGATGCTGAAGTAAGAGATTTTTAGAAATGTAAATATACATCACATTTTTGGCATTGCAACTAATATAACACAATTTTATCATTATAGCCAAGTGGCTGTAAAATGTGAATATTTATTTTGAATTATTTTTTCTATCCAGTATGTCCTCCTTCTGATCTGCTGGTGTTGACATGGCTTTATACAGTAAACACAGGTCGCTGAATTAGTGTGTGATTTTAGGCAGTTATGTTAGTTTCAGTCCGTGATTCTTTTTTTTTTTTGTCTTTATAAGTGATACCATCGTCTATCAAGTGCTTTGATATTTATGCAAACTGATTTTTGTTGGTGAAAATTCCACTGTTGGTGTTCAGTGTTAGCAGCGCCATTGTTGTTAGCTGTTGGCGTGACTGGGACTGTACACACACAGAGTGTAAACAGAACCGCTATCAACACAAATGTTGTTTGTGATCTAACTTAGTCAACTAACCTTTTAACTTGCACAAATAAAATATACACATTGGATTAGTTATTTCTCCAAGATACGTATCACTTCTAATAAAAGTTGTTTGTGTATCCTAAGGTATTCGTTCCAGCCTCAGTTAGGAAGGTGTAGATACAGATAAAAATGTATATGTATACTTAACGCCTAAATAAATGTTAGAGGCATATGGAAGGACAAAATCTTCACTAAATTCTATCCAGTGAAACAGTATTACTATGGGGGACTTGGCCAGCAGCACATTAATCAGTGGACAGCCTTGGTCAGCACGCTTGCCAAACTATATTACTACAGTAAGTGTGCTTGGAAGTGTTTCATGTTGCGAGTTTGCTTGGTTCCAGTTTTATTCCATGTGTCATTAAAGGGATTATCTCAAACCAGCAGAATTTGTCAAAACAAGAAAAATAAAAGGGGCCTGCTATAAAAGTGTACAAGAAAACTGTGTTGAAGCTAATTTGTTCAGAATTTCAAAAAGTACAATTAATGCCTGGGGTCTATTTCTTGCCAAATAGATATGCTAAAATAAAGCATGCCAATCCTTGGTATGTTTGCAGTTGTACTTTTAATCTAGCATGTCCTAAATAATTCAGCTATCCATTTGTTTCACAGTTAGTCCTTTCCAAATTAGAGGCACTGCACAATTTATATATAGAAAAAGAAAACACTTAATACAAAGGGCAATAATTATTTTCTGGTGGTGGGTTCCTATGAAAATTTAATTCTTAAATTCAGTTGTTAACAATCAATTATTTCTACAGACAGTCAAGTGTAGTAAGAGGAATGTATTATCCCTTATGACTTAGATAATCAAACACATTTGTAGTTATGAACAGATATTCTGTTCTCTGCTTCTACTAAAAACTTTTTTTTTGTCCCAGAACACTAATTGTCATTTTAAAATGTTGATGCTCAATTTTAAACTCGTTCACAGATAATTTAATGCCAAAGTATTTTCATTGAGTTCATTTTAAGATATACATCTGAGGCAATTGTTCCCCCGCTCCCATGGATTTTAGATGGCCCTCCATGCTGATTTCAGTGATGAGTTTTGGGTATGTACAAATAAGCAGTACTCTAGTAAAACTCGAGTTATATCTTTGGCTAGCTAGGAGATCAGTGATCCCCTGCTGCCTCCAGTATATGAATTATTGCTGGTCTTTTCTTCTATTACAGATTGCCTGTAGCACTGGCAGTTTTAGTAGGAGAACATCTCCTGATCTCCTGTGAGTGGGCTCATCCCACTCTCTTACTCTAATCTCTTTTGAAAAAATATTTTCTTTTCTTCAGATTTTGCAACAATGACCCTAAAGAATAAAGCTTATTAACGATAGAAAAGAGAGAAACAGTGACACTTGTAATAAATGGCAAAGTTTTATACTATATTAGATAGAAAACAATAAATGAGGCAGAAAATTCTCTTCAGAACTCCAGGACCAATTAAACCTACATAGAAAATCTCAAATCTTGATTTTGACCTCATCCTTCCATTTCTTCCTAGCTTGCATTTCTGCACAATTCCCTACTTACTCTTGCCTTTCTTCTGAAAATGTGTATTTCCTGTAAGCCCCCTTTTATAGCTGTTTTGCTAAATCCAGTTTCAGTTTGACAATTGGGAAAGAGTATTTCTAAGGCACCACTTATTCAATGGAGGTTGTCTCTACTAATCCACCAGTGTAAGTAATCCAGGAGTTGTCTGGACATTGCCCTCAGTTGCAGTTTGTCTTTAATTCCAAATCGAAGTCAAATAGTATAAGCTTTCTGTGGCAAAGATGGCAATGTTTGTATTTTCTTTGGCAATTTTTAGAATAATCCTTGTGACTTTTGGTTAATCTTACTGTGAATGAGGTTTCAGCAGAAATTTTTTTCTGAGGCAGAGCTGATCCGTATGGAATGACACTTGTAAATGTAAACTTACTCCTTGATGTTTCTATTACTAGAACATAAAAGGCTGCAAATGGTACCTACCGCTAATGGAAGCTCTCATTTCTATGTTTTAGGCTGACCAGATTTCTGGCTTTCACATAAGGTCTGTTCTGTGTGTTCCTATATGGAATAGCAACCACCAAATAATCGGTAAGACCTTCCTCAGAGCTGCATCATTTTTCTGCTAATGTAAATTTAATTCTGTCTTTTTAATTCTATGTTCCTTTTTCTTCTTTTTCCCAGCTGAATATTGTTAAGAAGTTACGGTACCTAGGATGCATGCTAAGTATCCAAGAAGGGATGTTTTGACTTGGATACTGTATGGACTTTTTCAGCTTTCCCATTGTGTCATTGTTAAGTTATATATTGTATTGAAACTTGAAGACTAATGAGATGAAAACAGAAATTCTAACAATATTAGTGAAAAATGTTTGATATGCTTTGATACTTGTCTTGGGTCTCCCTTTTTTGTATGCAACTCGGGCAACTGTTTCTGCAGTCCAGCAAAGTGGTCATTTCCCTCTGTAATGATAAACTACTCAGTCAGGGAAGACTTACCGAAGAGGCTGTGGCAGCTGTCAGAGTTGCCTGTGGCAGTGGTGTGTGCTGGATCAGGACGTGACAGGGTTTTATTGCTTGTTTGATATGATGCTTCTCAGCTATGATACACCTGCAATTGGCCCTGCGTTATTACCTGCTTTTGGCACAAAAAGGAGCGCTGTTTGTAAATAACAGTGCCAGATTCCTCTCCAACTTTCCACAGAATAATTCAAGTCAAAGCAATAGCAATTTAAACCAGCAGGGCAAGACTTACATCCCTGTGTGTAGTGGCTGTCAGTGAGAGCTGAGATCCGTAGTGCATTGCTGAAGGCACTCGGTGCCATGCAGGATCAGGATCTTTGAGCTTGTTCGGCAGAGGTGATGTGGGAATTGAGTCTTTTATAAATATGGCTCATTGTTTCTTGTGAAGTGCATATTACCTTAAAGAAGTAGAAAGAAACTGAACTTTGACTGCTGATAGCTCTTACAGTATTTTTCTAAGGGCATATCATAGCTAAATGAAATAGAAATGGTTTGTTGCAGTAGAACTCAGTATTAGTTCAGCTAGAGCCAAGAGCTTTGAACACTTTCTTTTTGAAGTGGTTTAAGGAAATTACTTTTTTTTAATGAAAAAATGTTCAATAAATTTATGGACCAGTCATGAGAAAAAAGGACTTATATACCCAGGTGATGCTAAACCAACTAAGATTTTAGGAACGAAGGTACTGATTGAGCAAATTATATTAGTAACTCCAAATTGCTAGGAGAATTTACATGAGTGCTGTTAGCAAAGTGCTCAAGTTCTTTCCCAAAGAGATCTTTAACCTTTTGTGAAAAGCGTTGCGAGTAACTTTTAGATTTGCAATATTATACTTGGAGAGTAAAGAATAACAGTTGAAAGTAATAAACTGAGTCCTGGTATCAAAACAATCAGACTTTCACATGTTTATGTCTGTCTAATGATTTTCAGAATAAATATTTGCAGTTTTGCTTTTCAGTTTGAAAGATGTATTTTAAATGTTGGCAATAAATAAAATATTCTGCATTGTGAATTAATGAATGAAGATTATAATTCATATTAACTCTTTCTAAAGGGGTAGCTCAAGTATTGAACAGGCTTGATGGGAAACCCTTTGACGATGCCGACCAGCGACTGTTTGAAGTAAGAGGCATTCAATTTTGTAGCAATAACATACTTTTTCAGCAGGATTTGGTATTTCTGGGTAATGCTGCTCCAGCCTACTCTAGGGAGGGGGGAAGAATATATTGTCTGTATTTATGGTTTGACATTAATTCTCAGAACTCCTCACTTAAGATTGAATCCTAATTAAAACAAATTTCTTGCATCTGATCTTTCTCATCTTGCTGAGGCCAGTGTCTTACCTGCATTCTCAAGATAACCTGTCTAAGCATGATTATTCCTAATGTTTCCAAGCAATTCCTTTTCATGATTAAGCCAGCATTCACCTTTGTGTCTGTATTATAATTTACTTCCTTCTCTTTTTTTCTTTTTAATTTTAGGCTTTCGTTATTTTTTGTGGCCTGGGCATCAACAACACAATTATGTATGACCAAGTGAAGAAATCCTGGGCAAAACAGTCTGTGGCTCTTGACGTATGTGTACATCTTAATGAAACCTTTTCTTGCTCATAAGTGTCACATGTAAAGAGACCTACTGCTTCTGAATTTATTGTAGTTAGCATCATTTTCTATATCTACTTCCCTGCACCTTAGAGTGTTGTCTTATTAAGGTAATGCTGAAGGGAAACTTTCTCAGGGTACGCTTAGCTGTGGAGCTCATGCACAGCTTAAGTAATTTTGAACATGGATATCTCATTTGATGCTTATGTTTTTTTACATTAGAAGGGGGGACAGTGATGATGGAGAATTTAGTTTCTTACAGGTGTAAGTGTAGGAACTAATGTAGGTGTTATATGTATTTTTCTTGTCCATCAGTAACTGAAAATTCCTTAGGATTTGATATTTTAGATAGCTGCTTGTTTTTCTAGTGTTACAAAGTAGAAGTAAAACATACTGTGAATAGGACAAAATTTGAAAAAAGTAATCATCATCATACCTTTTTTTTTAGTATCAAAAGCAACATCTCTGAACCCTTATCAGATATGTCTTTCTAGAATAAAGTCAAAGCAGGGATGGCTGGCAGCTCAGTAAGAGCTCTGCTGTGGGTCAAGGCCAATACATAATGCAAGGCCCTGGCACTCCAACACATCATGTCTTTCTCTAAAATACATATAGAGTAGCTAAAAGGATGGAAAGCTTTCTCTTTTTTTTGCCCATTGCCTTTGTAGGAATTTCTTTTCCTGTTTCTGCCCCCCCTGCCCATTCATGAAGAATGAAATCTACCAGCTCCTGTAAAATAAACTCTAAAATGCAGAACATTTCAAAAAATTATGATTATTTAAACTTCTGTAAGCTGATTCAACAGTAAAGCACTATTCTCTATTATATTCTGGAGACTTTAAACATAATTTTAAAAAATTTTTAAAAATAACCTTGGTGAGAACAAAGATTGGAGTTTTGAGGACAGCATTACAAATTTACGTTATTCCTACTAAAACAATAATTAAGAATGGTTTGAATGAAATTTAAGATCTTTTAAAAAGTATTATGCAAGACTGATTAATCATAAAACATTCCTTCAATGAAAGGGTAATGTCGCTAAGATTTCGGTATTGTTTTAAATTTCACATGCAATAAGAGAAGAAAATGATCTAGCTATCCCTGATGTGTGCACCCTTAAACTGTGTAGCTCCTTTGAGTTTATACAGTACCCACCATTCTAATAAGAACCACAAAAAGAGTGTTGGCCTGATTGAGATATGAATTTCTCTCTATATTAAAAATCAAACCAAACTGGATTGCTATGAAGATGGCATAATTTTTCTTTGCTTTAGGGTTGGAGATATTTATGTATTGGGGATCTATCCTATAAAGCACATAGGCATGTTAAGGCTTTCTGAAGTCAATATCAATAGGACTGTTTGTGTTAGGAAACATTCTAAGCATAAGTGGCTTTTTTATTATTCCTGTACAAGTATTCACTTAGGAGGGAAAGTTAAAAACTTTCCTTTTCAGGCCTCCTGCAAGATTCCTTATTCTTTACATATCATAGTCATGAATTACTATAGCCCTCATATGCCCCACATATTTGTGCAATATTACACCTTAGAATGAATACTCCTCCTGGCAAGAAAAACAAGCAGTGCCGGATATCGCACCCAGATACGTAGGGATGAAAGTTAACGTAGAAGTTTGTTATTTCCTACTGAAATCAAGGAAATTTAAATTTCTTGGTTTAAAATAACAGCTTCTTTCTTTGATCTAAAAAAGACTAATAGCCATATAGCTTGAATGTAGATTATAGTTTTGATAAATGGCCACTACGCTTCAGTGAAGAGTAATTCTTTCTATAAATGAGCTACAACTCATGATAATATTTGTATAAAGTGATTGAATATACAGCAGAAAAGTACTGAACAAAAGAATGGTATATTCTGAAGGACTGTGAATCCGTTTTTCAATAATAGAATACTTTATTAGTATTTATGTATTTAGCTAGGATGGCAATGAGTGGCATTTGAAAATGACGTTGATATCAGATGTAAAATAAATCAATTTTATATATACCATAATAAGATTCTTACGCAGATATACAAATACTGTTTTTCATATAGAATTCTCATAAGATGGACTAATAAACAGAAGACCAAAATGTAAATAAATGATGGGCAAAGGTTGACAGTAGGATGCCATAGGATTCAAAACCAGGCTAAATACTATTTTAGGTATTAAGGATGCAAAATTTGTAAATTATTAAAAGATTAGAATAATCAATATTAAGGTAGACTGTAAAAATCTAGAGGGGTATAATGAATGTGAATAAAAGAGAAGCTTGACGAGAATTTTGATATTAAGTGTAATCTGTCATAGCAGAAGACAATTTTACTAATCTTACAGATTTCTGAGAGAAGCTATGATATGGTTGGACAGAAAAATAGATACTATTTGAGGAAGGACATGATGTGTAGTTATAGAAAGTAAAACGTGGGACAGAACAAGTAAATTGGTGTTTGTTATTTATTCTTTTATAGTGCAGGAATGATTTCCTGTTACTGTAAAAGATGACACCTCTAAAATTGATATGAGTAAATACATCTTGGGACTTATTGCCACAAGGTATTGCAAGCCAAGGTCATTTGAGATAGAGTTTAGGTATTTGTATGAGTAACAGAGACATTCATAGATTAAAACAATTTCAAAATGAGAAATATATATCAAAGCTTTAGCACATAAGCAGATCGGGTGTTGCTGTGTGGTGAGGAGGACCTGTCCTTGCTAGTAGCACTCTGGCTCTGTGAGCTCCCTCATGGACCGGCGCCTCGTCCCACGCACAGTCAGACCTTGGTGGGTCCAGTCCACCGGATGGCTGTCGCACCTTCTGGAGTGCTTATTCAATGTTAGTATCGTCGCATAAGGATATAATGCATTCCATGTAAATGCATGCATACTTACAGGTAATAAGAGGAGGTGTGCAGTACCTTGTGCGTTATATTTCATGCTTTCGTCGCCAGCATGGTATTGAAGAGAATGTCAGGCATAGCATAGAGGTGCTAATTTGCATGCAGCGATGTGCCACTAGCAAAGGCGTTAAAGCTTTACAGTATAGCAAAAGGCATTATTTAAAGTCTATAAATCTACTCTCATTTTTACATTAAATTCTTTCTCTTTTAATTGTAGAACTCCAGGAGAACAATGTAGGAATGCCTATAATATTAAATTACTTACTGTCCATTATTCCCTATAAAATTCCCTGCAACATAAATGCCAAATGTATACCTGATAACCTACAATTAGTTATTATATGCTGACATTCAGAACTTAATTACCATGCATAAATATTAATTAAATTTGTTTTAAACGTCGTTGATTAGACTGCAGTACAGAGCCCTATTATTTCTACTTGTCAAGTCTACAAAAATGTTTTTTTATCTTTTGTTCTGGGGCAGGTGTTATCTTATCATGCAACATGTTCGAAGGCAGAAGTTGATAAATTTAAGGTAAGGATTTGGTTTTAGTTATTTCTGAAAATACAACAGTAAATTAAAATTGATGTAGATTATCTGAGAGAAGTTTTACATCAAAAACAGAAAATCATAACAATGATTAACAAAGGATGTATTACATGTTATAGGCTGTTAGGCAGGGAAGGTGGAAAAAAAAATCTTTCAAAGGATAAAGAGATGCAGTGATGGGCGCACAGTGGCAAAATACTATTGTCCCAGCACCAGCTGCTGGAACTGCAGTCAGCATGGGTTTGCTGGCCTCCTCAGCAAGAACCACCATAGGGAAGTCATACTACAGTGGGAGGTGAGGAAGAGACTAGAGAAAATGAGAGGAACTTGAGACTTTACATGCTTATAGCGTGGAAGCTGTTCTGTGTTTACTAAAAAAGCAGAGCATTCACTATCAGGATTGTGCATAGACTCCGAAGGCTGGACGTGAAGGTGAGAAATCCTCCTCTAACTTCTGTAAGTGCCCTGGGCAGAACTGTAAAGTGATGTGTGCTGAACATAGCATTGCTAGGGACCAATAATTATGTGTTCTCAGTGAATCCTGCCTTGCCAAGGGGTAGAAAGTAGGGGGAACGGTGACCTTGCTCTTTCATCACTGCCAGCACTCCAGAGCTGCTTTTCTGATAGGCTTTGTTTGTCCTTTTCTGCTTGAGGAAACACTAGGGAAACTTGGTGACACTTTCCTTGGCTATGAGGAGTCAGTGTTGTAGAGGACTCCTCAAAGCTGTTTGGGAGGCTTTCGTGGTGGGTATCAGCGTTGGTCTCCTGTATATGCAACATGCATCGGAGACTATGGTGAGGTCTGGGAAGGAGATCTGAACTGTTGTGACCCCGTACTGCTGGCCTTCACTGCTGTGGCTCCCTGGAACCTGTCTGGCTGAAAAATAGCTGTTTGATGGTTGTTTTGACACTTCGCTGGCTGGCTGCAACCTGATCTCTGCACCATGGGGATGGTTGAGGTGGAAGAGGGAAGCTGTGGGTGACTTAGCAGAGCTGATACTGTTGAGTGACCTGGGTTGAGGAAGGGCAGCTATTGCTAGTTAGCTAATTAGTTTGTAGATTATTGCCCAAATGATGGCTGTGCCTTAGAACTCTGTATTGATACCTGGTGATAAGGGTGTAATATTCTCCCTCCGTTGTAGTTATTGGTGCAGTTACCCACCCTTTTGTAAGCTGAAGATTAGATTACAGAATTATTGCTGGAATCAAACCTGCTTGAAGATCGTTCCAACACTGCAGCCAGCAGAACTTTTGAAGATCGTTCCAACACTGCAGCCAGCAGAAAATACTTTTGTGTGCTTAATAAGTTGTATCTTGTTTGGCAAAAAGAACACTGAACACTGTGTGAGAGGGAGGGGAAAGAAAGGGATAAAGGACCATAAATGTGTCTTTTTTCTCTCTTTTTTTTTTTTTTTTAAATTTTAGTTTACCTTAGAATAAGCACCTGTAATACAGCTTCTGTGACTGCCAGGATTCAACAAATATCTGTCTGCATACCAGAGGGCCGTACTTCTTGGTTGCTGTTAGCCATTGAAAGACAATTCTCCATCATGGTCTGCGTAATTGAAATAAAAGCCTGCTATGTTACTCTTTGGACTTAAATACTAGTGTGATGTGGAGCTATTCCACTTGTTTTCCCAGGGGTTTTCATTAATAGATTTGCCAGTCTCCAAGTAAGGAATGTCTTGTCGTTATCTGTTTACCTTGAAGCCATGTAACTATCCATTTAATGGTTAATGATAAGGTAAAGGGAAATGAAAAGCATTTATTCATTAACAACCCTGATAGATACATTTTTATAAAGAACATAGATGAGAAAATGAGAAATATAACCAAGCTATGCTTAAACTAAGCTGAGGTACTTTTTCAGAAAAATGTTCCCTTTCCTATATCCAGTTGTCTCGCTTTCAGCTCCTGACAAAATGAGTGCCAGGTGGTCTTTGTTAATGCTTTACACCACTGGTTGTAAACAAAACAAAACAACAAAAACCCAGAGAGGACCAGCGTGTCTTGTGGGCCTTCGACAGAGAGCTCATCCCCAGAGAGGGCCATCCATCCATGGGATGAAATTGCTCTCGTCTCCCCCCTTGCAGAGCTCTGGCAGCCAGTCTCCCTGCTGAGGTCTCCTGGGGTATCCTACCCTGAAATCACTGCTCTTTTCTCTGTTCATTATATTGTTATATTTTGTATAAGCCCTTTGTTATATTACGGTCATCTTCTAGACTTGACTGGCTAATAAACAATTCCTCCCTCTGGGGGTGTTTGGGGCTAAAACTGTCCCCTCTCCCTTTGGTGATTTATTGGCAGATGTTAGAGGAAATGTGTGTTACGATTTACCCAATGTTCTGATTCAGTCAGAACAGGAACAAACACACATGATAGAAACATCTAAATGAGAGTAATGCCAGTAGTTCGCTACTGGCTCTTGACTGACACGGGACCTAACAGTAATTAATGACTTTGGAGTGACAATACATTTGAGTTGACAACTTTTCAACTTATTACCCCAAACATACTGTAACTGGACCCCAGCAGCTTGGAAATAATTACATATTCTTCCTCCTAGTTCAAGTTGTTTATTTCCATCTTTGTCATCTTACTACTTTATAGTCTTCATAAAATGCTTTTCCATTAATTTTTATTTGCCTAAGATCTCAAGAATATTGTGATACAAAGTGAAAAATTGCAAGTGTACTTGAAGTTTATTTTGCCTCTGGCTTTTACCAGTGAATTAATTTTATTGCATTACAGAAAGCCTAGCAAGACTAGTTAAAGTTGATTTTTTTACTTGAAATTTTGTCAATAATTTCCTACTGTTATTGGATGAATTCATAAATATACTTGGTATCTTTTTAAACATTAAACATAATCACTGTGAGCAGGTTCTGTAAAATAAATAATGTTTGTTTCTGTTGCCACTAATCCTGTCTAAGAATTAATGAAACAACAAAAAACCCCACCTTAATAAGAAACCCTTAAGAAATGAAATACCTTTCTCCAGATGCTAGGATGGGAAGAAGTGCAGAGCACCATCGGTTGTGGAGCTGGAAAATACAGAGGGAAGGTCACAGTATGGAACAACGAAACATGAGTGTATGACAATGGACCATGTCATGCAATTGGCCTATTCCATATCTGATTTCTACAATTGTATAAAAACAAAGCAGCAACATAGATTGACATTGAACATTTTTTTGCACATTTTTGAAGGGATTCCACTTCTGGTGTTACTAGAATATAGCTTTCACTAATAAAAATCTGAAAGCCAAGTTTAAAAATGCTTATATGATTAGAAATTGTTCTATTAACGAATGGATGTTTCTTTTCTCAGAAGAGAATCCAATTATGTAAATCATTACTGTAAAAATTCATGTCACCAGTCCTTTTCATTATTTGCATTAAAGCTTTTGGGATTCATTAGCACTTATGCTAGCAGGCACAGATTTCTCAGGAGGCCAGTGCGAGCAGGACCAGTGTGAGGCTCAGATGCAGTGTAGGCAGGTGCAGGGAATGGAAAATTCACACCCCTAACCCAGTGAGCTTGTTTTAGTGATAAGAGAGGGGGCTTAGCCCTCCAGGTGGAACTGCAGAGGTCTAGATTCAGAGCCTGAGCAAATCCCTTAATCTTTGTAGGTGATAATGTGGCCCTGGAGAAGGTAATGGGAGGTTTGCCATTGATTTCAGCAGGATGTTGCTGTCTTCGGCTTTGTTTGGCATTTGTAAAATTGCATAGTAATGTTCCCTCTGTCATCTTCTATCTATTTATTCATGATGGTCAGTCTTTTGTATTGTATTTTCTGCTAGAACAAGATCTCTGAAAAAAGTTAAAATTTAAGATCCAGTCCTCTTTTTATGCCAGTCTAAAATGTATGTTAAGTGAAAACTTGAGTTGGCATGCAGTGTAAAATGGGTCCTTTTTCCTGAAAACAGGTAGGTTTTTAAAATGGGGAAAAACACATGGAAGCTTAATTAATAGAGTTTCAATAACAGGCAATTGAATCAGAATTAGTTATTAGTCAGAATTAATCGTGGGGTATCTACCATTATTCCTGTATTTGGGACATGCGCTGTACTTCCAGGTTCTAAGAAAGAGGATCTGGGTTTTGTGAATGATTTATAGGATTAAAACAAGAGCAACAAAAACATACAATTTATAGGAAGTATTGTACATAGACTCTCCATTGCCAGATTATTTTACTTTTATTTGCTACGCAATATTTTTCGACTTTTTTTTACATTTAAATTATGATTTAAAAAAAAATCATTTAAATCCGATATACTGCTAAGTTCATATAAACTGCATAATATTTTTTAGGTTTTCTGATACGTGCTGCATTACTGTGATATGTAGATTTCTGATAATAGGGAGAAAAATTAAACTTTACTTTTCATGGGTGTTTGCAAGTAAAACAAAAAAATCCACCTTGAGTGCAAACATTTCTTGCATATCTGAGAATGTCTGTCTGAAGTCATGAGCCTGATTTATCACAATGCTTCTCCTCACTTGCATCTACGTAACTACACCAAATTCAAATTGAATTTTGGCAGGATAAGCTAAAGTAATGCACCAATGAATCATACCCATATCAATATTCATTTTATTTTTTTAAGAAGTTAGAAATAGGTATGCTTTTAAAAACTGTGGCAACTCAGTTCTCTCTTGTATTTCAGACTTAAAAGACAACTCCATAATTTTGATTATGTACTAGCGCTAGTGTTTAGCTATAAGCATTTTTATTATTGGAATAGAAAAATGTAAGACTAGTGAAGTCCGATTAATCTAAGATTGATGCTATCCTATAGCATTGTCCTGTAGCGCCAGGTTTCTTCTCATTGAAACGCAGGCTCTCCAAGCCTAAAAATAGTTGTCTTTTAGACAAATATAGAAAGCCAAGATACATGAATAAAGAATGTAGAATTGTGTCCTGGACAGGATATTTATAGCAAGAGTTACTGACTTCTGAGGCAGTAATGAACAAGTCCTG